CCATCTAAGTGGTGATAAATTGGCTCACAGCTGGGTACCTGAGTGTAATCCAAGATTTACAATTTCAGTTCTGCTGTTCTCTTTCATGGGTTCCGGAGACACCTGGCTTGCACTCATACAGATGCCTGTGAGAAATATGCTAGTAAGCCAATTGAATCATTGAAATATAAAGAGGAAATTTATAATAAGAATGCAATACATCTATATAAGTCATTTTCTTTAGAACTTCCATTTAACGTTAGAGGATTCAGTTCTATTTTCTACATTTTTGAGATCAGAAAACTGATGCTCAGTTGGACATGCTGGTGTGTGCTGTAATCCTAGCACTTGGGAGACTGAAATTAGAGGATCCTAAGTCTAAGGTCAGCCTGAGATACACAGCTAGTTGGAAGTTGCTCTGGGCTATCCTTTGAAAAAAAAAAAAAAGACAGAAGGGAAGGAAGGAAGGACGGAAGGAAAGAAGGAAGGTAGGAAGAGGGGAGAGAGGGAGGGAAGCCAGGGAAAAGGGGAGGAAGGGGAAAGAGAAAATTTGGATTCAGACATGCTGAGCAACCTACCCAAGATTTCTACAATGAAATAGAACCCTATCTGTGAAGTCTGTGTACTTAACACTCTCAGCTCCTATGTTTATCTGCCACTTTTCTGTGAAGTCTTACATGCTGGAGCTAAATTTCAGAAAAGTTCATATAATAAAAAGCCTTGAGTGCCTGGAGAGTCTTCACTCACTATGTATAACTAAAATATACAATATGATATCCTAAGGCATAGTTGTGGATCTATTAGTATAGTAACTATAATGAATCATATTCACATATGTTATATCTGTATCTATCTGTATGTGAACTCATGCAGTTGTCCATTTCTCCTATGGCATAAACAGTTACAGCTGTTTAGCCAAATTGCTAAATGTGATACACTGTTACTAACTGTAGCTGTCCTATGGTACATTATAGCTCTGAATTGCACATTCTAAAAATATGCTACCTTGTGTGTTTGTCCTAAGTCTCCCTGACCTCAAACTCAACACAAGGTAATGATGTGCATTATTTTCAAATGATTAGTTCACAATGTATTGAAGTATAAAGATAATTGAGACCTTGATGTGAATGGTTGAGGGTCTGTGCACAAACTTTGCACTCTGTTGTCTTTATGCATAGAATCAGCTCAAATAACTTTGAAGCATAGTCATTAGAAAGGGTATTAAGCTGAGTGTGATGGCACACTCCTGTGTTTCCAGTACATGGGAAGCTGAGGCAGGAGGCTACTGCAAGTTTGAGGCCAATCTGGGCTACATGATGAGCTGAAGGTCAACATGAACTATCTAGAGAAATACTGTCATAAAAAATACTACAAGTGGGGCTGGGAATTTAGCTCAGTAGCATAAGCACCTGCCTTGCAAGCAGGTAGTCGTGAGTTCGATCCCTGGTACCGGTAAAAAGTTAAAAATTAAAAAAAAAAAAAATACCACAAGAAAGATGAGAGGACTCAAGACTTTTTAATATAGAAAAGACTAGATCTACGCTTTAAAAATCAACTAGATTAATAATTATTACATTAATTTTAAGTCCTTCAAAAGGCAGATTAGTTTGTATCAGAATGTTTCAATACAATTAAAACTTTGAATAACAATTCAACCACAAATTCAATAATCTTAAGTGATGAAAACACTTATTCACTTTCATTAAGTATAATGAATCAGAGTCCATTTAAATTTTTCAGTGTTAATGTGAATATACATTCTCCATCAATTTTGGCTCAACTTCATGCTCCAAAATGAAAGGACATTCTATCACATTTTATCACCAAAATACTCTTCACTTTTCTACATTTTAAGAAATGTAGGAATTGTACAGATAAATGACCATCATTTTTAATGAAGATTTTCTATTGGTTGAGAACATGATTTGTGTATTTCTCATGGTTTTCAAGGTATGATTTTCAAATGGGTAAAATGTAAGAACACCAAACTGAAATAGTAAGAAAATAACTGAAATTGACATAACTCACTAATGAGTCCAGAAGATCTGTACAAGTAGTCCAAAAGTGATATTACAGTTAAGGATTTACCAACAAAACTCTGGGATTAAATTATTAAAGATGAAATTGGTGGATGTTATACATGGCAATAAAATTTTAGCACTTGCTTATGTTTTCTACTAGACAAAAATATTTGTAATTGACCCACTTATACTTCAACATGTTATACAATTTCAGCCTAATCAACAAATAATAAGTTAAAAATGATTTGTTCAGTAGAACAGATGGGCTATTAGTATATCATGAAATAACATGTAGTCATTTGTTTGCCTTAATTTCAAGTTTGAGATAATTTTTCTTAAAACCCTCTAACTCATTACAGAAATATTGAGTGCTCAAGCTAATACTATGTTACATTTTATTTACATCATTCCATTTAGTTATAAAAATGAATATTAATTGGTGAAAGATTTTTAATGAAACTAATTATTACATTGGGGAACACTGACAATGAACTTGGATAAAAGTTTGAATATTTAGGATCTTGTTGGACATAGCCAAATTCATTTCCAAAAATGATATGTCAAACTATACCTGTCACAGAGTAGGATTTTCTAAGCAACATACTGACAAAGATGAGCAAAGTCTTCTAAAAATTTATTGTTTGGTAGATTCAAAATAAAATCTCATTTCAAATTATATACATATCATTTGTAGTGACTAGTGAGTGTAACATTTTAAAATATGCTTTGTTATCTGCTTTTAGAATAATTGTTTGCTTACTTTCTGTGTAGGTATTAATGTCCTTGTTTTATTTTTTCAGTTTTTAATATCTGAAGGACAAAAACATTCTTTGTTTTTCCCTAGCTTTATATATATATAATAGAATCATATATATTTAATTTATGCAAACTCCTGTTTGTTTAATTCTTACACATCAAAGAGCTTGTCTTGGGATATAGCAATAGTACATTTTATATGAGGAATTACAGCACCCTAATAAGACTCAACTGGGATAACTTGAAACTCAACCTAAGATTATGCTAATAAAGATGTAATGTTGTTTCCTCTTTCTCTATGAAACTATTTTATTAAAAATGAAACATGCCTGTATATATAATTACTGTTAATATGGTGGAGGACTGAAACTATGGAAAAGTTAGGGTTATTTCAGAAGATAAAATTCTCTGTAAATTGACTGCAATTTTATTAATGAGAAAATAGTTTAGCTTTAGGGGATAATATTTTGAATAACAGAATAACTGGCAAATTTCCAGAACATTTTAAATAATTTTGTGCGTGTGTGTTGAGCTAGATAAATAAAATCAGGATCAGAAAAATAAGCAATACAGCTCTGTATTTTTTGCTTCACATAAACCACTTGAAGTGTATAAAGTGTGTATGTTTTCTGTTTGGTTTTCTGATACATTTACCAATATATGTAATTTCTTTGTTTGCTATTGTAAATGTTTTCTCTGATACCACTGACCATAGACCCTTCTAAAATGGCTATGTATTCTTGAATTTTATTATCTGTCAAGAATAAAAAATAAAACTGACTCTTGGATTTTTTAAAGATATATGGTTAAGACTATATATATCGCATGCAACATATAAATTAAAAATGCAAGAATGAATTTTAAATAATAAAAGTACATGAGCATGACATATAGCATATAAAATATAGAATATGGCATACAACATAGAGTATAGAATACACTGTACAGAACATAGAATATAGCATTACAGTGTATACAATATATAGTATAGAATATAGAACATAAAACATAGAATATATAACATAGATTACAGCACATAGAACATAGAATATAGAATACAGCATATAGCAGAGAGAATAGAGCACAGAGGATATAGAAATAGAAAGAAAGGACTACATTCATTAGAAGCAGAGCTTCTGCGCTCTGTAGAATCCCACATCTGGCAAAGTGTGCAAATATTTTTATACCTGGGGTATCACTAGCTTTTGCTACTGGGGTGTGGGGGAGCCCCTAAGGACAGTGTGGCATGTCCTGTGCCTTGGGAGACTGAGAGCCCCGCCAGCCTGAAGCTTCTTTTGGTGAACTGCATCCAGTGGCCTAATTTCCCTCCCTCCTTGGCCTTAGCCCGGAAGTCCAGGATTGGAAGCAGGGTGGGGAAGGTGTGCAGAGGGCTTGAGGGCTGTGGTGTTAGGAAACTCTCCACACCCCACCTTTTCTTAGACCTCACTGTTCAGGCTCTAGATCCCAGCAGTGCTTGGGCCTCCCGGATCCTCTTTCCACTGCCGAAGTGAGAGCTCCCCTGACCACCTTCCACCCTCACTGAACCCTGGGGCTCCTTGAAGTCCCAGTTTCCTAATGGAAGGCAGGAGGCCAGGGCTCGCTTTCCTCTGAAACTCCCTCGGCCTAAAAGCCCAGAGACTGCCAGAGAGTGAGGCAGGGTCAGGGTCCTGGCAAAGGCTACAGGGATAGGTCAGAAATCCCCAGCCGGTTCTGTGCTTATACTGTGAGCACTCAGCCTTGGAGCCCTTTGGCCTTAGACTTCTGGAAAGTGAGCTTGAGACTGGAGGAGTGGACTTGGAGAAAGCCCTTGATCTTGCAGTCAGGGGCTTCAAACCCCAAGGGTTCCCCAGGGTCCCCCTGGATCCAGTCTCCAGCTCTGTGCCTCCTGCACTGCAGCACGGGGGCAGGGGATTTCTGTGTCAAATTCACAGATAAAGGGCTTTTGGGCCCTCATTTTTAGGATCCTATTACATTTCACCGGGGAGCTGGCTGGGAGATGGGGAATTTACTTTGAAAGCTTTTATGTGTGCTCACCTTGTGTGGTTGGGTGTGGAGAGCGTGGTAGGGGGGGTTTCCAGGTGGAGTGAAATTCTCATTCCATGGGTATTACAGTGCCTGTGGGTTGGCAGTTCTCAAAGTTTAGCTAGTCTGCAAATAACTACAGAGCACAATAGAGTCCCCCTCCCTTCCTCTCTAGCTGGCTCTCTCTCTCTCCTTTTTTTTTTTTCCTTTTCCTGCTCCCAAACGCCTTCTTCTTGGAGGCTGAAGCTGGGCAGGTCTCCAAAGACTCAGCAGCCACAACAATCCCGCAGTTCAAAGTTAAGCAGCAGTTGCACAACTTCAGCAACTGTCTCAGCCGGCTACTAGGAGCTGAAAGCCAGGGAGATCTGAGGAGGAGAAGAGCAGCTTCCAGCCCCCTGCTTTCAGTCTGGAAAACCCAGAGTCAGCCCAGCAACAGATCACGGAGGTACCGGCCTTGTGACTTGCTTGCCAGAAGACCATGGCTCCTTTTGGAAGAAACTTGTTGAAGACTCGGCATAAAAACAGGTAAAGCCAAGTAAGTGCCTGTAAGGGGGAGTGGGTGTTGCTGTTGGTCCTCAGGACCTTACATAGCAGAGTCGTGTTTGGCTGTGCTTCAATTCCGAGGGAAACTGCGTTTGGGGTGCAAAACCCTGGGGAATGAAGTTTGATTAGGTCTCCAAGGAGTACTCAGCAGATAAGGGTACTGTTCCAGTTCTGATGAGGGCAGTAGCCAGCGCGAGGATAGCAACACATAATGAATGATTATTTTATTCCCTGTTCTCTTTGGGGCTATTTGATTCCATAACTAACATTACCCCGTTCTTATTTTTGCTACCTGGAACATTTGAGGGTAATAGAATAGTAAGTTCTATTTGGTTTACACAGAGCTTTAGAATATTACAGAAAGCTTAAACATTTGATGAAAGTGTAACTGGAATTTATAGCCACACACTTTAGTGAGAAACACAGATACAATAGGGCAACAGTGCTTTAGCATTTCTGAAAACCTGAAACTTTCCAAGAGAAAATATTTTATGGAAAAACACTGTGATCTGATTCTTCCAAAGAACTTCAAGAACTTTAGCTGAGTTTAGACACTAAAAAAAAATTTCAAACCTATTGTCCTTATTTCTTTGATTTTACTTTGATTTTGCTTGCTACTTCAGGACTGTGATGTTTTTAGTGTGAATATGTGGATTTTAAATGAGTACACACACGCACACGTGTGCACACACACACATACACACACACACACACACACACACACACACACACACACACACACATACACACACACACACACACACACACACACACAGAGGCATCCACGGACTCAGAGATTTTTTTTCCTGGGCCAGGCTATGCAGTTCAATCTTATTCAGTATTTTGTTTTCTTCTCAAATGTTACATTTTTATGGCAAAATAGTGAAGATAACTTCCTTCCTTAGTGTATGTTTTTGTGTAAGTGCTTTTCACCACTCTTTGCTCGATCTTGCTTGTTTGTACTTGTTATAATTTGCTTAGTGTTAATTTAAAAGGATACAATTATATGGTAGGAAATGATATAATTATTTTAAAAGTGTCTGCATGACTTTATTTAAAATAAAATCTTTATGCATTATTTTCACACAAATGTCCCCTTTAAAATTTTTATTTTCAACCCATTCTGAATATACTGATGGTTTAATTGACTAAATTTCCTTCAAAACTGAAACAGCCATAATTCGTATTATAAAACATCCTGTCAGTTTTATCTTCTAATAGCCTCATAATATATCATAGTAAGTTATTTGTAAAGTATTTTACTATACATAGCATAATAAAATAGTTTCACAAAATTTAAAAATGTTAGCAATAGGTAACAAAAGTAAGTTTTTGCTTCGCAATTTGCTGAAATACGTCCTAGAGAAGACATCTTTCCCAAAATTATTTTTGTAAGTGAATTTTCTGTAACATGATTGTTACAGTCTGGATTTTTTCACTTATTTAAGTGCCATCAAAATATGTAAAAATTAGTTTGGAAAACTTATGGTCTTATAAAATTGTTTCTAGCCAAATGTGTATTAAATTTTGTTTTGGATTTGTTAAAGGATTTTATGAATCTTTTCACTGATGTGCCCTATAACTGTGTAATAAAACTCTGCATCATGTAATCCAGTGATTTTTTTCTTAGAAAATGTACATTTTTCCACTTATCCCATCAGTTTTGGCACTGTATCATAGATTCTACCAATACAACTAGCTGTCATTCAAAAAGTGAGTACACATCTATTTTACTGTGACATTTTTATGCAAACTTATGGAATGATAGAAAGAAAACATAAATTTAACAGTGTTCCAAGTGTTGATGAGAAAAAGCAAAGTGCTTTCTTAAGAATGTGTGTGTTTTGTCAAAGGTGCTAATAATGAGAGTACACAGGACAACTGCTTAATTACTGATTGCTTCTCTTTACAGATTTGTATTTTCCTGACTGATAAAAAATTTAAGCTACAGAAATTATGTACATAGAAAAATGATTATTTTAAATTAGGCAAAAAATGGAATATTTGAGTAATTTTAATGGATTTTGTACTTCTATGTGTAAAGTCTTGTCTTTTCACTGTTTGAAAGTAAAACTACACATACAGATTTGTTATATTATTCAGGTTACACATTTCATTAATCTTGTGCCATAGTGATTCAAATAACCCCACTTCCATATGTCAAAATCAAAATTTTGAAATGATTGTTTTATTCTTTTATAGATATGATTACTGATAAGACAGTTACCTCATAATTAAAAGCACTCTGGTATAAATCAATATATAAATATATGTATGCTGTGAATCTTTTGTTTCCATTATTTATTAATGTCACACAGAGGATGACATGTATATATAATTTGTTGTAGAACACAAAGGAAACATTTGACTAATGTAATTGACTAATATTTTTCTAACTTAATGAAAAGACTACTTGAGCATAAAATCAGCTTTATCAGCAGGAAAAAGGTATATCAGAACTTTGAGATCATAAAGTTTTGAGAAATTTTGTTTATTGAGCTTTTTCTTTTAATTATTGTTTAAATTTTGTTAAATCACTCAAGACTTAAATCCACGATTTTGTACTTATTCTCATGATAAATGTGTATTTGAGAGCTGTAAAGACACAAGATGCGAATAAAAGCTCAATAACAAAGCATAAAAACTTTAAAAAACTGTCAACTACAAAGCTTGAAGAGGGCGGGGCTTTGTCCGTCTAGACACTGTGATGTTTTCGTGCCTAGGACAGCACCTTGCGTACTGTGGGTCTATAATACACCAGCTTATTTAGTTTTGTAAACTAAAATTATGACGTGCACTTAAACTAGAGACATGGTAATTATTTTATTCCCTGTGCATCATGCAGTGCAAACTACATATTACATAAAATTGAATATTTTATAAAAGATTGATGTCATCTAAAATGTAAGAGCCATTCAAATAATCACGTGGATTTATACATGAACAGTAATTCTACCTTGTCTGAAACTTTATTTTAAATTTTGACAGTTAATTTAAGAAATGTAGCAGATATTCTTCAGAAAATGAAAATACACAGTTTCAAACGATTATATGCAAGCACATAAATTCCTTAAACTTTTTATTTCCAATTTCCATATAGTAAAATCTATGGAGTCAATCTAATGTATTTATATTTATGATTGGAATTAATTTTTAACATTTTCTAATTGTTTTAAGTGTTTGATTTGAAGAACATAATTTTCAGAAGATCTCTTGGTCTGAGGAAATGGATTGTTTACTTTGGATCTAGAAAGTTTTGTGACTCAAACCTAAAGACTGGTAAAAATCTTGCTAATCAGATTTTTGTTCAACATAAAAAAATAAAAATGGTGTCATGTGTAGATATTTTTCAGCAAATTACTCAAGTTTCTGAAAAAGTTTTCTGACCATCACTTGATAGCCAGTTTTTCTGCCAGAAAACCTAAAGAATAAAAAAATGAAGCACTAATCTATTTGTATTCATGTGACCATTCAATAATTCAATTTAGATTATTAGTCAGGTTAGGTGTTTATGCAGGTTTTATTTGGAGACATGATTGTCTTTGTATTTGTAATAGATTATATTTTCAGTGTAACAATTGGTTTATAAGTTAATACATACAAATCACAAACAAGGACTTCTTTAAATTTTGAAAACTTGCAAGTGACTATCAAGCTTTTTAGGATATTTGGCTAAGACTTGATTTTATAATGCCTTAATAACATTTAGGGGCAGAGAAATGGTTTGCCAAATCATGTTAGCAACATAAAATTATCGTAATGAAATATTAACTTATATATTTGTGAGACATATAAAATTAGAATGGCTCATGTAGGTGATTTGGAAGATGAAGAATGTTATTAGAAGAACGCAGTTAAGAACAACTTTATGTGAATATTTTAGGTACTCTTTAAAATTATCTTCACTTTTGTGTCATCCTGTTTTTCAAACCTTGGTTTTTCCTAAACATATGGAGATGTCACTATAGCAAACAGGTACATATCAACTCCAAATTCAAAGCCCTCCCAATGTATTTTTAGTGAATATGTTAGAGCTACTACATTTCTATTGCTTTATAATTGAGGAATACATTTTGCACTAGAATTTGCTTTTGAATTACTTAGAATATATTTGATCTTTAAAAAAATTATACCAGCTATGATATATTGCCACCATAAATAAATTACACAATGACTGGTTTATCAGAAAGAAAGATTACGTTTGTAGTTAGGGTAAAAGTTTTTGTCAAGGAGCATGTCTTCTCCTTGCAAGTGGGATTTGTAATTGTAATTTATGCATTTACAATTCTGCAAAATCCTGCAAAATTACATTTTATATAATTTTTTTTTATTCCTCATATAAAGATTTAAGTGTGCCTAATACTGGATGCGAACTGCCAGATATTTGAATATATAAATCTTTTTTGTTCTCTGGAGTTACTGCAAGAGATTTTCCCCCCAAATATCCAGTACTTTAAATAGTTATTATTTGAGAACATATAAACCATTATGCACAATGACTAAAATCCTTTATCCTTAGCAGGAAAATCTTGAGTATTGGCTTGGGTAAAACTGCACTACAGGTTTGTCTTAGTTTCTTTATGCTTGTCGCTGAGACAAAATACCTGAAGCCCGAGATGGGAAAGGAAAGGTTTATTTCTCACAGTTTTTGGAGGTTTCAGTCCCCATTCAGTTGGCTCCAAGGCAGGCGGGCATGGCAGGGCCACAGTTCATGGCAGCTGCAAACAGGAACTGGCAAAGAGCAAGATACACCTTCTTCCTGCCATTACATCACATCCTGGCTCCACCCCTATGTGGGTGGAGCACTGACACCATCCATCCAAGCACTAGACAATGAACCAATCACAAATGCAAACTCATGAGGCCTGGGGGCCACAGACATAAACCACAACAAGGTTAAAATTTAAATTGCTATTCAAAAAACCTAAGCCAACATAAAATATTTTATGTAAATCCATCAGTGAATGGCACATGACAATGTGAGAAGTTTAA